GAGGAGGAGGAGGAGGAGGAGGAGGAGGAGGAGGAGGAAGAGGAAGAGGAAGAGGAAGAGGAAGAAGAAGAAGAACAACAACAACAACAACGATCACTGTCTGATACGAATGACCAAATATAGACTGTTAAGCAAAAGAGTAAGAAATAAAAGGATCACTGGTGTAAAATTAGAATATATTGAGAGGGAAATAATATTTGTAAAGATACACCGATAGAAATCTGCTGTAAGAAGGGACATGCAGTTCCGATGTTGCTTGTCGGCTTTGTGTATGTTTTTGTCAACGTGTGTAAGTCTTTAAAATAAAAAAAAAATTTTTTAATGGAAGAAAGATGGCCTTAATTTAGCTGCTTTAATCCTGACAGCAGGACCAGCCGCCTCCCGCCAGCCTCCCCACCTCGGTTATCGGTGATCGGAAAATAAATCACAGGAGATTCTCCACAGTCCTGAAACGGGCTGCGTTGCGTTGTGTGCCTCTGTTTGTGTGTCTCCTCTCCACCGCCGAGAGGCTTCCTATTGGCAGCTGGTTGTAAATATTTAAGTGTGATTGCTTTTGTCTGCAAGGGCAGCCAGCTTTGCTTCTCAGCAGTTTTCGAAAACACAGGAGGGGGGGGGGAAAAAAACCACAGATGGGTTTCTATTTTTTTGCCTACTGAGAGATGGATGTCTCCTGGCTTCCCAGCTTTAGGGAATGGTCCTAAATTTGGAGAACAAAGGACACGCCGGTGCCAGAATGGCATGTGAAGATTTTTGCCACCCTGTGAGTGGCATCGATGGCGACCCCTTGCACATCGCAAGACCTGCGGCAGGCAGAGGACGGGGGAAAACGCAAGGCTGCATTTAGGCGATGTGGCTTCCAAACTCCATGGCATCGTCTCTCCTTTCTAACGAAAGCCTGGGCTTTTTGCCTCCTTGCCTGGCACCATGCCAGCCAGGGGGAAGGAAAGGTTTAAGGTCACATGACGCTGCATCCTGACACCCCCCAAGAGAGCACGAATAAGGCGAGACCTTAACTCAAGGACGCTGCTGCCTTAGTCAAGGACTCCAAAGCTGGTTTCCCTCAAGGGAAACAACGCAGGTAGCAACTAGGTGTCTTCCCAAAACAGGCGGCTGAATGAAGAGCGACATCATCATGCCCTACAACCTTCCCAGGAGCTGCCTGGTGGTGCAGAACCCCCGGTCCGCTTGCTAAAACCCTTCTGGCATGGGGCCAGGTCCCATCAAGGGCAGCTGACCAGAGGCTACTTTGGCTCGAGCGCCATCCCCCCCCAAATGAATGATCTGACGTTTGAGTGAGAATCATCAGGGAAGCCACCGCCAGATCCTTTCTGGGGTGGGCTACACACCCCTCCCAAGCCTCCCCCTGACTGACTTTTCTGCCCTCTTTGGGGGTAAGGAAAGACTAGGGCGACATAATGCTTATGCCAACCAGCTTGGCGGGGTGCAACCGAAAGAAAACCCCCCTGTGGCCAAGATTGCAAGCTGGAGGGCAAATAGCAATAGCAATAGCAGTTAAGACTTATATACCGCTTCATAGGGCTTTCAGTCCTCTCTAAGCGGTTTACAGAGTCAGCATATCGCCCCCCGCAGTCTGGGTCCTCATTTCACCCACCTCGGAAGGATGGAAGGCTGAGTCAACCTT